ACCTTTTATACGCTTATATCCAGGTTTCTGTTTACCCTACAATCCACCTCTCTATCTAACTGGGAGAAAATTCTCTCACAATCAATTCAACCCCACACATGGGAAAACACCTTCAACATCACACATAGAGCATCTAGATGTAGCTCCCACTGGGAATCGTACATGAAAATCTTACACCAGTGGTATTTTATACCTGTCAAACTCTCTTTATATTACCCCCACCACTCATCCGCTTGCTGGAGACAATGCGGAGAAATAGGATCAACCCTACATATACTTGGGACCTGCAAATCTCTAAGATCGTAATGGAACAGTATCTTCCACTTGATCTCATCGGTTGATGGAGCCCAAGCGGCTCCAAATCCTGCTCTCGCACTTCTCCATATAGGAATCGACAAATTCAGTACCAAATCCCGTACCATCATTATCCACAAATAGCAGCTGCAAAACTTAACATCACTAAACTATGGCAATCTTCCACAACTCCTTCTCCCTCTGCCCTTATAGCGGACCTGAATTTCCAATGCAATATGGAAAGAAGATCAGCCCTCAATAATTCCTCCCATTACAAATTCAATACCCAATGGTCTCGATGGCTACAAAACCCCAACTGCTCTATAAGATGATAATATATACATAAATATGTAATACTGTGACCCTTTTGTCCTAGACTGGTGTCCCCCCTTCCCCTTCCCCGACCTGCTCCACCTTTTATAATGTTTCACACCTAATGGGTTCACACTAAACAAACAACACCTTTTGAGACACTTGATATTTGCTCATATATCCCTAGCCAATTGGTGGGGAATTTCTTTTTCATTTGAAGTATATATGTACCCAATTGTGAACCGCAGTGATATATACTGTTTTGTATTGTATTAAAATCTTTCAATAAAAACAGTTGAGATAAAAAAAAATATAATGTTTGGGGGTTCAAAGTAATTTTCTAGCAAATAAACTGTTTTTTCATGAAAACACAAATTGGAAGAAAAGTCTTGGTCTTCAAGTGTGGGTGATGTGAGGCATAAGCTTCTAATGAAATGCCAGGATAGTAGAAGAAACCCCTCCAAATGACCCCTTTTTTGAAAGTAGACACTCCAAGGTATTTGGTGAGAGGCTTCGTGAGTGTTTTGCATATCTCATTTGTTTCCACATGGTTTTGGGAAATGAAGAAAAAATAAAAAAAAAAAAAAAACATGCATTTTTTGTTTTCTTTTTCAAAACCCTGTGACAAAAATTATATCTGTAAAATAAAAAAATAAATAAAATGCCTTGGGGTGTCTACTTTCCAAAAATGGAGTCATTTGGGGGGGGGGGGTGTTTGTACTATCCTGGCATTTTAGAGCCTCTGACACTGTGATAGGTAGAGGGGAAGTGATATGAGGAAATATGCCCTTTGAAAGCCTGGAGGTGGTCATTGGATTTTGAGGGCTAGTATGTAGCTAGGCTGCCAAAAAGTCTCTCATATGTGGTATCCCCATACTCAAGAGAAGTGGAAGAATGTGTTTTGGGGTGTTATTTCACATACAAATGGCATGCATGAGCAATATATCATTAAAGTGACAACTTTTTGTTAAAAAAAAAAAATGTCATATTCCAAAAATGTGTGGCAAAAAATAAAATAGTCCATGGACTCAACATGCCTCTCTAAAAAATCCTTGGGATGTCTACTTTCCAAAAAGGGGACATTTTGGTGGGGGGGTTGTACTGCTCTGGCATTTTAGCACCTCAAGAAATGTCATAGGAAGTCAGAAAGTAAAATCAACGTAAATTCCAATATATATACCATAGTTTGTGGACGCTATAACTTTCACATAAACCAATTAATATACACATATTGAGATTTTCTTTTACCAAAGACGTAGCAGAATTCATTTTAGCCTACATTTATGACTAACTTTGAGTTTATTGGATATATTTTATAACCTAAAGTGAAAAATATTGTTTTTTTTTTCAAAGCTGTCTTTTTTTGTTTATAGCGCAAAAAATAAAAGCCACAGAGGTGATCAAACACTAAAAGAAAGCTCTATTTTTGTGAAAAAAGGACATAAATTTTGTTTGGGTGCAGGGTTGAAATAGTGCAGTGCCGAACAGAAAAAAATGGCCTGGTCATGAAGGGGGGTAAATCCTCAAAAAGGCAAGTGGTCAAAGGAATACTAAAGGCACCGTTTTTTCTAAAATAAAAAAATAGGTTATATTTATCTGCTCTGTGTAAGGATATTGCACAGAGCAGCCCCTAACTTCTTCTTTTAGAGTTTCCAGCTGTCTCTGCCTGCTCCTCTTCTCCTGCGTATGTCCCCGAAGCAAGCCACGTGCTATGGGAGCACATGTGTGGGCATGCTACTGAGCCAGGATGTGTATGTCCATTGACACACACAATGCAGCTCTGCCACACTCCCCTCACATGATTTGACTGGCAGCATCAGGAGCCAATGGCAATGGGGCTACAGGCGGGCACAGGGATGGATTGCGAGAGTGTTTAGGGAGGAGGGGAAGAAATAGCTAGTGGAAGGTTTTTTACCTTAGTACAGAGAATGCGTTAGGGTCAGGGGCGGACTGACCATTTGGAAACTCGGGCACTGCCCGAGGGCCCGGGGCCAGTAGGAGGCCCCATGAGATGCCCCTGGTACCTTTTTCATAGGCTTTTTTGAGTTTGGGCAAGGACACAGGGGCCCCATGATCCCCTATTGCCCTGGGGCCCCATGAGTTGTCAGTCCGCCCCCTGGTTAGTGTAATAAAAACTTTTGACTTTAGAACCACTTTAAGTATTTTACTAAGTGCCTATCAGTCATCAAAGTGAGGCAAAACCTTTATTTTCATTCCCAGTCTTCAGATCCCTGTGTGGCCTCGCTCCATATAGCCTTTGCAGCAAGCACACCTGCATGTATCCAGCTCCTATTGCACATGTGCATTGCTTGGCTTATTCCTTTCTGTGGCTGACCCCCCCCATCCAGTCTTTCTTGGTGAACAAGGCTCTATTTAGGAGAGTAGCAAAAATAATCTTATGCTTGATCTCCACCGTAATATAAACTAACCCAAGTTTACTGCACAATTTTGTGTTAAAAACTCATCCAGCTTTCATTCTGAACCCTTCTGTGAGGGAATATTGATACTTTTCTTTGTATTCTATCAGTAAATCATATGTCTCAGTTTCACGCTTTATAGCTGGCTTGTGGATACATGATTTATCGAACACCCTGTGTCAGCTGGTTCCATCAAATAAAATATTGCTGAATCATATCTAATTTTTTATTTTTTTTTCAATTTAAGGGAAAACTTCAGAGAACACATTTTGAGATATTGTAGCATTTTTATGGTAGACAAATATTTATAGTTTTTAATTTAATGTGTCCTCTTCCATTCTTCCAGGATTGTATTTTTTGTAAAGATTTCTTTATCCTTCCTCAGCTGGCTATCTGTTTATCAGGCAGTATAGTATAAAACTCTGGTATTACCAATCAGATGAAAAAACAATGACACAAAAGTACTCAAACACTCCAGCGCTCAGACAATATTTCATCTGGCGGTTTCACAACTTGTAATGCTTCAAACAATTCAGCCCTCCTCAGACTGGGAAATTTCAGCAAAGTAACTATAAAAACACAGGAGGGCACAAAGACCTAGTGCATTACCAACACTACTTTTTATTAAAACCAAAATTAAAAACATACTCACAAACATATAATGGAACAGGCATATAATATAACAACTCCAGCCACGGGGCGATGTCATCTGACCACACGTGTCAGGGTTGGTAGGTTGACGTGTTTCAGGGGACGTGACCTTCTAGATTTGTGCTTGGATCACTAATTAGGAACACCTCTTAGTAACTGAGTAACCCCTTTATGACCTCCTATCACAAATGTGCAGTGACAAAAGGGTGGGCTCCTGATCATGTAACCACTGTGATAGCCAATCACAGTGGTCACGCGAATGCCTGATCTTTCATGCCCCAGTTATTTAGACCATTTTAAAGGGATGCCATGGTGAGCAGGAAGGGGTTAAAGTAGTGATGAACCCTCCTTTTTTAAGGACTTTCAGCAGATGATTTAATCATTCACTGAGTTTGCAGCCTTATCTTTTAATCCTTGCCTTTGTTCCAGTTTATGCTGGTGCCATAACTGCTGCCCCAGGTTTACTGTTTCAGGGTGGCTCCTATCTATTGCAAAACATTCTATGGAGCCACACCTGCATGCAGGTACTAGAGTTATGTCTACTTATACTTTGTCCATCAATAGAAACGCACAGCTCCATAGCCTAAGATAGCTAGGCAGTACTCTGCTCCTCCCTCCTCCCCCTTTCCTTCTCCAAACTAAGAGCCTTAGAGGGGTTCTAAAGGATCAAGGTTTTTTACCTTCATGTATTCTATGCATGAAGGTAAAAAAAATCTTCCATGTGCAGCGGCCCCCCTCCCAATCCTTACCTAATCCCTCTCCAATCCAGGGACATTCTTGGCAGCCTCTGCTGTCCTCCTCATTGGCTGAGACTGGCTGTAATTGATAACAGTGAGTGCCAAAGGGCTTCTGCAGCTGCCAGTCACAGCCAGAGAGCCAATGAAAAGAGAGTGGGGGGGCTGAGCTGCGGCTCTATGTGTCTTATGGATGCACAGAGCAGCGGCTCAGGAACGAGCATGCAGTGGTGCCCCCAGGGTGAATGGCTTTCCCTGGGGACCTTGCTCAAGGGTGAGCACCCAGAACAGTTGGCGGGGACCCAAAAAGAAGAGGATCTTCTTTTGCACAGAGCAGGTAACTATAGACATGTTTATTATTTAAAAAAAACAAGCTTTAGTGTCACTTTAATTCAGACTGCACTGTCTTATGTTAACTCTATTCTTTGAAGGCTGGAAGTTTAGGTAAGCAGCACTGAGAAAGCAGGAGCCGACAGCATTAATGTGATACTAAACCTACAACAGTTAAATCAGTCTGTATATGCAGTAAAGCATGCTTGTTATACTCACTGTGGAACCTAAAGGGTTAATCCTCTGCATTGTGTAAAAATGCTGTTTAATCCTGACTTCTCTGATCCTCCCCTTCTTCCAGTGCCCCCCTCTTATCTCCTGATAAGACATGCTCAGTTTGGTGTGTATTGCTAGAGAGGTTTTTTTTTTTTCTTGGGAGAGTGCATGTGACGGGGTGTATTTGCCACAAGGCAAACAAGGCATTTGCCTAGGGCAGCATTTTTCAGGGGGGCAGCACTGCCCTTTGGAAGAAGGGACACGCATGGCATGGGGACCTGGTGGGTTCCCAGAGATGCTGTGGGTGTTCATGACGGTGTATGCACAGCCCGACCCTCTCGTTCCTGGGGATGTCCGGAGCTGTGAAGGTGAGTGTATTTCTCTCTCTCGCCATGGGGGATGGTGGCTGGTGTATGGGGGGCAGTGGTAATGGAAGGCTCGGGTGGAGAACAGGGGTGTTCTTGGTCAATGTCAGGCTCTTTCTGCAGGGGTAGGGGGCACCAATTTTTGTGTTGCCTAGGGCAGCACAAAACCTAAATGTGCCACTGGCATGTGATCAGTACAGGGCCAATCAGCACTGTCCAGACAGAGGTCAGGGGTTCTAAATCCTCCTAGAGAAAATTCCTCCTACAAGCTTTAACCAGTGCTCTGCTGGACACTGATAGAAGTCACAAAACTGCTCTAACTGCTGATGAGAAAAGGTATTTAGCAGTTTATATTTACTAAAATAATTGCATTTCCATTTTGTGTGTACTGTGGGAGACCAGAGAGAGTGAATGCAGGGTCTGGGGTTTAGTAACACTTTTAAAGCTATAAACTGCAAGTGTTTGAACTCAATCAAATGAACATTCCCAGGTTTAAATTCTCACTCAATGTGTTTAGCTAAAAAATTACCGTGGGTTTAATAATTCTTTGTGTTTGTAAATAAGTGAGGAGAAATTTCCACAGCCTGTCTTCAGCCTCATTTCTCTCTCTCCTTCCCATGCAGTTGTCATTCAGAATCTCAGACCAGCCAAGCATCTGTTTCTCTATTGATGAGTCATTCATCTAGCATAGGCAGGAGAGAAAACACCTCCTGGGAATAAGAAATAGTGACATTTCCATATTTGTGAAGAATCAGTACAGAGCAGATAAATACGTATCTTTCGGTTATTTATTTATATTCCATTTATGATTCTAAGTATACTTTTGGCTCAGAATGTGGCAATCTGTGTTAATGTATTGTGTGTTGGAGATAATTCTGCTTTAAAGGCCAATTTCATCCAAAACTGATTACAGAGCTTAAAAAATTCACCAGTTTTTTCTGTTATCACTTCACATCCCTGCTATAAAGGTCTTTCTTTTATTGGCTTGGACACTGAGAGCTCACATGCTACTTTTTCATGTAGTGATCCAAGCCAAAATAGTTCAGGCTTAGTGCTTAAACTGAGTAAAAGGCAAACTGGAGCACATCATAGACAGCACAAGAGCCAGTGTTAAATTATAATAAGGGCAGAATAGATGTCTGCTCAGGGTTCCAGACTAGGAAGGCCCATGAGAATGCTAAAATATTCCACACTTCAGTTATTCTCAGTAGCCAGTTGAGAATTTCAAACATTTAAACATTTTTAGAGGGTAATCAGCAATGGCAGGCTTTGTATTTTTGTCAATAAAAGTTTCCTTTTATTGACACAAATACTCCCTGAGCCTGCAGTACGGCTTCAATATTATCTGCCACCATAATATGAGCAATTAGCAAAGCACATACCACTGCATGAGATCCAATTCAAAACTCAAAGTCAATGTTCCAAATCATTTAGAAAAGCTTCACAAACTCATGTCAGAAATTAAAAAAAACATAAAAGGTCTGTATTCATTGAGTGTTATGCATGGCTAATTAAACTAGTGGGGAGTCCATGATTTGAAAAGGCACTAAGAAATTTTTGCCCAGTACTGGTCCAGTGGGACCACAATGTTCCACAAAGCAGCCCCTGAAAAAGTTAGGCAAAAACAAAAAACAGTAAAACCAGATGGTTAATGTGTGATATCAAAGTAGCGGTATTCCACCTAATAATCTCAAAAGGAAATGTGATACAACAAATCATTATACAATTAATACACAAATTGGTTCTGTTGAGTGGGTAGCCTACACTATACAATATAAATGCTACACTGACAAGTTTCAAGTTGCTTTTGCCCTAATCATAAGTGGGTAGCCATAGCCAGTCATGCTGATGTAGAGGTAGGTTCTGCAAATCTTGCCACTTCCTCCTGTCCCCTACTTGCTCTTGTGAGTTCAACATTTGCTCTCTTTCTCCCTCTGCATGAGATGAAAAGAGCACAGGGACTATGGTAGAATTAATTTACTACTGATCTGAGACTTTCAGTTACCCCCTGTAGTGCACATGCCATGAAGTGTCCTCTTTGGTGCCAGGCTGATGGCAAATGCTTCTCAACAGACCACCCACCAAAGCTGAGAGTAATAAAAAAATATTGGTCCATTATAGTTGTCAATGAGTATCAATGTAATGGACAAATATATAGGGGTTAATTGCAACTGCCATTAACCATCAATGTTCAGAGACAAAAAATATGATTTATTATAACTTCCATTGACTACCAAAGTTAAGTTGATAAAATTAGGAATGCAGGCTGTTGGCTGTTGGCTAGCAGTAGTGAAGATGGCTATTATAAAGGTAAAACACAGTATAGTACAATGGTCATCATTACAATCTTCCAGGTGATGTTGCCAGTAAAATTGATGGGGGGGGGTATACATTTTGTTATGGGTCCCTCTGACGTGTGAGTTTGTTTCTGCAGTAAATCAGTGGTATCACATTATTCATTGAATCAAAGCCTTGAAATTGCATGACTGGGTTGCATACCAAATTTAGGCTTCCTACCCCTGTGGACCTCTAATGCTGGGTACACATGTGCTAGACATTGGCTGAAATTAGCCAATACAGTAGAAACAGGCACAATTTTCATACTTTTGGCTCTATATGCCCCCAGAATAAATTGAAATTAAACAATCCAAATGAATTTGAACTTGAAAATATCAAGTACAAATTTTAGGAACTGCAACCATTTTTATACACAGTCACTCCATTTTCAGGGGCTCAAATGTAATTGGACAGTTGAATATAATCATAAATAAAATGTTCATTTTTAATATTTTGAGAATCCTTTAGGGCAATGACTGCCTGAAGTCTGGAACCCATGGACATTACCAAAGACTGGGTTTCCTCCTTTCTGATGCTTTGCCAGGCTCTAACTGCAGCTGTCTTCAGTTGTTCTTTGTTTGTGGATCTTTCTACCTTTTAGTTTTGCCTTCAGCAAGTGAAATGCACGCTCATTTGGGTTGAGATCAGGTGATTGACCACTGCAGAATATTCCACTTCTTTTCCTTCAAAAGCTCCTGGGTTGCTTTTGCAGTGTGTTTTGGATCATTGTCCATCTGTACTGTCAAGCACCGTCCAATCAACTTTGCTGCATTTGGCTGAATCTGGGCACAAAGTACATCTCTAAACACTGCAGAATTCATCCGGCTGCTTCTGTCTTCTGTCACATCATCAATAAACACCGATGACTCAGTGCCACTGGAAGCCATGCATGCCCATGCCATCACACTGCCTCCACTGTGTTTTATAGATGACATTGTGTGCTTTGGATCATGAGCTGTTCCAAGCCTTTGCCACACTTTTTCTTCCCGTCATTCTGGTACAGACTAATCTTAGTTGCATCCATCCAAAGAATGCCAAAAACATCTAAAAAAGCCAGATCAGTTTTGGAAAAGTAAAGCCTAATCTGGCTTTTCTATTCTTCAGATTTATGAATGGTTTGCGCTTGTGGTGAACCCTCTGTATTTGCTCTCGTGAAGTTTTCTCTTAATTGTAGACTTTGACAATGATATGCCCACCTCCTGGAGAGTGTGCTTCACTTGTCTGGATATTGTGAATGGGTTTTTCTTTACCATAGAGAGGATCCTGCGATCACCCACCACTGTTGTCTTCTGTGGACGTCCATGCCTTTTTATGTTTCTGAGCTCAAATGTACCAAACTGTTGATTTGGCCACTCCTAGTGTTGCTGCTATCTCTCTGATGGATTTGTTTAGTTTTCAAAGCCTTACAATGGCCTGTTTCACTTGCATGGACTGCTCCTTTGAATGCATGATGCAGGCTCACAGCAATAGATTCAAAATGCAAATACCACACTTAGAATCAACTCCAGACCTTTTACCTGCTTAATTGATGAAGAAATAATGAATGAGAAGCCCACACCTGGCCATGAAACAGCTTTTGATTCAATTGTCCAATTACTTTTGGTCCTTTGAAAAAAGGGGGGGTAGCTAATCTTAAGAGCTGTAATTCCTAAACTCTTCCTCCAATTTGGATGTACATACCCTCAAATTAAACCTGCGAGTGTGCACTTTCAGCTCATATTCATTACATAACTATAACTTGAATATGTTTTGAAAATCTGAAATTATGCCTGAGTCCAAATATATATATGGACCTAACTGTACATAAAGAGATTGATTGCAGCATTCTCTGTTTTGTTTTGTTTTTTATAATTAACACATTAAAACACATCAGCCTCAGCTTAATTTTTTAAAGCAAAGTTCTGAAATGCTTGCTATGCAAAATGTAATATTCAATACAATATCATTTTTTTCCTATTGTTCAAATATTTTACTGAAGTGCTGGCTTGATAGATAATTAGGAGAATGAGGGTACCGGACAACAGACTCAAGTATGGATACTGGTAAACGAGATAATGTTGCAAACCTATTTGTTCATGGTACCTAATGAAGATTAATGTTTTGTACTGGGACATTCTTGCTGTAGATTGCATCATTCATCAGTCTTTATAAATATTGTTCTAATCAAAGTTGTCCAGTTATGTGGAAGGCTGAATACAAAACAGGTTAGTAAATGGGATAAATGCCACATTAGTTATACTGATACATAATAGCTTTAAAAGTAAATGATGTAGATGCAGCACATCTTTTATCTGTTTTGTAAATCTCCCTGGAGATATATTCTTCCTAAATGATCCAACTAAAACCACAGCTAATATGAACTGATTCTGCAGCTAATATAGAGACTGTGAATGTTTGTCTTCCTATGCTATGGTCCGGGGCTTGGGTCCAGCATGGGCACAGATGCAGCAAGATTTAATGTGCCAACCTGCATCACAGTTGGTGTCGTTAATGTCTTGTGGCAAATCATTTTTCCTCAAAGTAAGAAATAAAAATATTTTATGAGTGTTAAAATGTATAACACTCATAGATGCACTATAACCATGTAAGTTCTCAATTATCTACTTTGTGAGAGAAAAGTTATTCTTGATCATTAAATAATGCTCATCAGACTAGGGGTATTATTGCAAATTGTTATATCACTATTGACTTCCTTTGTCTAAAAAATTCTAAGTTCAAATTAAAAAAAAAATTTAGTGCTAGGTGCAGGAAATGCACAAATATACTGTATACAGGTATTTACATCAGACCTTCAGCTTCATATAGGGAGCACAGTCTGCCTCCCTCTGTATCATAGTTTCTGATATTGGTGGTCTAGTAATCAAAGAGTTTGACAAAGAACGTGGTTTGTTCAAAACTGTTATTAGGAAAATGTGATTTGTATATCTGCACTTGGTTTAACAAGTAAAAGAGTAATTCAATGAATTATGGACTACTCATCCTTCAATTTGTCAAAAATTGTAAAAAAAAGTCTTTCAGAGGGGTGCAGCACTCTTGAAATTGCTAAGATATTGGGTCATGATCACAAAACTATTAAAAGTTTTGTTGC